TCTTTATGATATATTAGCTAAGTATTGTGGTCCCTTGATGAAATGTGCTAAATAAAAAAAGTTTTGAGTACTCTTAAGAATGTTTAAATCTATCCTTTATAATAAGATATTCTATCGCTGTTAATATCCCTAATGTACATCTGTCTTGCTAGTATGGAAAGCTGTCTGATATTTTGTGTAACTGCACAAATAGATATATATAACAGGGTGCACATACATCTTTACTTCTCTGTATATTTATTCATTCATCCAACAAGTAATATTTTAAATGTATAATTCTATACCATACATTATGTATTTTTATGACTGTTCTCCTTTTACTTTCTCTTTCTCCTAGACCTTCTTTTCTAGCCAACCGCTATTTCTCTTTTTAAATTTAACCAAAGCGTAATCTGAAGGTCTGCCTGATTCTCATATAGAACCGGTCCTTCCCCTAAGCATTAGGGTCTCTGTCCCGCACAGCAGTGTCCCGTGATGGTTTCACTGTGTCTCTTCTCCTGCTGGACATGGCGCTCCAGCAGAGAGCATGGGCTCAGCAGTAAGAGCGTGTATTACATGATGCCGCTCCAGACTCTAGGTTGATATGCGCAGGGCATTTTTAAGTGCTCTTTTATCTCCTGGATTTTATAAAATACATCAAATGTATTTTGTGATTTCAGTCTTTAATATTCTCATTCATGTGATTATTGACAAATTTTTAATGCTTTACTAAAGGATGATTTACATACCATAAAATTCATCTGTCCTAAAGTGTTCAACTCAGTGACTTAGTCAGCTTACAGTGTGGTGCAGTTGTCATTACGATTTAATTTAGAACAAGTCCACTACCCCAAGAAGATCCCAATTGAGGTTTTTTTTTTAACTTAGTAGAAATTTCTGTGCAATGAGAGTTAACTGGGTAACCTCCAAATGTGTCATTGCTTGGGGTCCAATCTGTTTGGGGCACACTGTGCTTTCAGACAGGCTCACCAGGTAGTTAGTGGCGCTGCACTGTAAAAGAACAGTAAGGGACAGGAGTCCCCCTGAAGGGTCTCTGTGACGTGTGCTCTGCTGGGTCCATTATGTTTACGAAGTGTGACCCCAAAATAACAGTGAATGTTTAAACATAGACCACAGGTCTCCCTCAAGACCTCACTTTGAACACACTTACCCATCATGCTTGCCACCTTCTGCAGCAGTTCTGAAAGTTCTGTTCTGGACCTTAGTACAAAACTTGTACTATCCTGGCTGCCTCAGTGTGCGGATTCAAAACGTGTACCTGTCACAGTCATTTTGACTTCAGGAAAGAGCCAGAAGTCCACAGTGCGAGCTCTGGTGAGTGAAGTGGGTCAGGACACAGCGCACGCAGTGTCTTTGGAGTCTGGTTTCCTATTGGATGGCGCTCGGCAGCAGCGTTCACTGTGCTTCGCTTGCACCTCACAAAGACATAAAAGAGGACCGAGAACTATTCCAGAAGGTGGCAAGAACAGTGAGATAAGCACGGTTGAGTGAGGGCCAGTGTTTAGAAGGCGATTAATTGCAACGTTATCTTTTACTATAAGAAATTTTTGAAATTTACACGTTTATTGTGTATTTTGACCATCCTGAGTATTACATCATGTGAGATTAAAAGATAGTAACACATAACACTTGCCTTTTTCATTTAAAATGTTAGGATTTCATGGAAGAGGAAGAACTAAACTAGCTCAGAGTCCCCCTGACTACATACTGTGCTTGCCTTAAACAGTTAGTGGTTATGCATTGAGCAGTTGCTACATGCTTTTGTGAAAAGAGAACTCTTAGGGAATATAAAAGCAAATTTGAAGGGTTAGTACTTAATCTGAGGAGAGAGGAGGTGCCTCTGTTGAAAAGATAAAACTCTAAAGTTAGCCTTGCCCAGGACTTGGTTCTGTAAAATTTGTTTTGAAGCCAGGGCCATGTTCTGAACCGGGTCAAGTGAATGTAGACAGGAAAGTGATAGGACTGTGTTTGAGAAGCTGTGAAAGAGGAGCAGGGCCCCGAAGTCTGAGCGTGGTGGCCCCAAGAGGAGAACGCAGCGTGGGTTCTGATCCTTACAGCCTAAATGGAAAGGCAAGGATCTGGGGGAGAGCGGAGGTGGGAGACAGAGAGCTCCAGGCACCCTTCTGCAATGGGGGAGTCAACTCCATTTAGAGCAACAGAACAAGCCTGGGTTTTGTCAGAATGTTTTGTTTGACGCCATCAAATTGTGAGTGGGTTTTATTGTGACTGCTGTGATAGCTAGCTCGGCGGTGACACTGTCTGTGAGAAGGACATAGAGAATGCAAAAGGCGGCGGTCAGAACTGGATGGAAGACCAACTCGGACCCTGGTGGATAGAACAATACCTTTCCACCAGGCGAGAAAGATACTTCCTACCCCATTCTTTGCTCCTCCAACAGGGCTGATGATCCCACTTCTCCTCGGGCTCCCCAGTCCTCCTTGCCTGGTGTGGTGCCAACACCCCACGTGGGAGGCCCTTCCATGATGCCAACAGACCATGCGCCTGAACGAGGCCACCCATGGGGCCTCCCATGACCTGGTCATCCACTGTGGTGCCCACTCAGGAGTGACTCAACCAAAGACCGAGGGCATCTCTTAAGACTAGTTTTTTTTAATCAGGTTTTATTGGTATATTTTATATATACATAATGATCATACTTGCCATAGAGAATTCATACCTGTACATGTTATAATCTGGTTCTTTTTTTCCCATTTGCCTATCATCCCTTTAACTCCTCCTTGCCTTGTTATACTACAAAAGCTTTATTTCCTTTTGTTTTTTTTTTAAGCTTTTCCCTTCTGTCCTTCCCAATTGTTGTACTTCTCCAGGAGCTCATGGTACTGTGACGGGGTGTTTTCTATCAGCATCACAAGGAAAACTTGTTCCCTCTTCCTATCAAAGAGACAATAGTTTTGACACAGAGAAGTGGGACAAAAAAAAAAAAATTGCAGAAAGTACAGTTTTCATTTGAAACACAAATTGTGAAAATAAAATTGTCAGCTCTTTCAGTTTAAAAAAAAAAAAACAAACTATGATATCCAGGCCTGATGCTTTGGGAACTGCTTATTTGGTCTTAAAATGTTAACGTGGGTCAACACAGATAAATAGTGGTACTAGTTAGCATATTGGTTTAGGGGCTGGGTGTGTAGTCCAGCAGTCAAGTTCTTGTTTACAGTACACAAAGCCTTGAGTGGATTCCCAGGCACTGAGGGAAAATACTGGTTTAGTTCTGTAACAGATGAGTAGTGGCTTAAAGAGGGCAAAGTTCATCTCCTTCTCAGGTAATCAAGGTTTTGCTGAGCAGCTCCACCACGTTGTGGACCCTCCTTTCCTCCTGTTGCTTCACCACTGTTAGCGCATATCTTTTGCCTTCCTGTGATGAGGATACACTCCATTCCTTCCATGTCAGCCACATCGAGCCACCAGAAAGAGTAAAGGGCACAGGAAAAGACGTGATTGTGCTTGCACACAGCCCTCATCTTTAAGGGCATGGCCAAGAAGTTGAGACGAGGTCTTGCTGAGTGACTAGTTGCCCATAGGGTGGGCTCAAAGTACTTACATTCCTCCCGCCTCAGTCTCCCCAGAGTGCTGGGATTACAGGCTGGGATGTGCCATCATGCCCAGCCTCTCTGTATCTTATCGGACAGAACATGATCATCGGCCACATTCACCTGCAGAGAAGTCATAGAAAAGGTGGCCTGGGGGCGTGAATGGAGGAGAGGAGAGACCATAGGTCTCCAGCTGAATGCTTCAGCTGCATTCTGTGAAAGAGTGAACATGGGAGCACAGTTGGCACTACCTCTCCATCATTCTGTAAAGATGAGTTTAATATGAAAATATGGACTTGCGTGTAAGGAGGAAGGAGCTACAGGAAGCCTTAGGCCAAGCTTTCATTTGTGACTTCTTCTTTTTCATCTGGATTTAACCAAATCCATATACCTTTCCCTGAAACGAATCTCCCATGGTTTTGAAGGCACACCTGTGCTTCGAGCTGGCAATGTATCGATTCATTTTTTGTGACACAGTGTCAGTTTGAGCTCGTATTTTCATTGAAAAGCGTATGTGACAGCTCCAGCATTTTCATGTGAATTGAGCATCTTATAGTACTTACCTGGGTAAAGACTTGGTTGGCATTTTCTTTCTTCAGAGATCTCTAAGGGAAAAAAATGCCTTCTCCTCAGAGTATAGATATGTGGGATTGTTTTGGCGTGCGCACGGATTTTATTAGAAAATGACATTTGTGTCTTCGGGAACTAATGGAATCCAGGAGTCAGGAATTCCAATTCCAACTTCAGTACTCAGCAGTGATGCCACCTTGACCAAGCCATTGGACTTTGGTATTTTTCTTGGCTAATAATGTCTCAAAAGAGTTGAGAAGTAGCCTCCCTCATCAGTGTCCCTATTTGATCAACAGTAATGAGGTCGTTAAAAATGCACATGTCATCAGTAGATTATTGATTATTGGAAAACCACAGATAATTTTCTTTAAGGACAAGTTTTGCTCATAACCAACTGGATCAACGAAAGAAATCAGTGTGAAAGGTATCTTTAATATTTGCCAACACGTCACTGTATGACATTCTTCTAACGGCTTTTTTTCTTTCTGAGAAGAGATTTGAGTTCTTGAGATTAGAGAGTTTAACTAATCATGGTAGGCAGAACATTTTTTGTGACAACATATGTCCTTTTCTGAGAATGCATTTTGGGAAACATTGATTGTACCACAGATCTTTTTATTCTTTGAAGATCTCTACCAGTATTACATTTTGGGCAAGACTAATTTTAACCAAGTTCAAAAATGTTCCCAGTGTTATCCAGTAATTTCATTTGGTTCCTTTTTATGCACTCCTGATACAGCCAAATTATAGAGTCTATAAAATATACGGCTGTCTGTAGGAGTGGTGAGTGGTTCAGTGATTCCCTTCTCTTTTGTGTGGGAGGGTTTCCTTCACTCTGTCACCTGTCCTTGACCATCATCAATGTTTTGTTTTCTCTTGCAGATGACACAATTGGTGCTGCCTGGCATGGTTGAAAGGTGAGTCATAAGCTCACACACGAACACTATGGGCACAGAGCTCATTATTATTTATAGGGAGAACCCTTTCTCTGAAAATTTCATTAAAATGACTAATGAACCTAACCTCCACGTCTTAGCACCAGGCAAATCACACGGTGGAGCGTGAGTCACTGGTGGAGGAGGCCTTTTCCACTCGACTCTTTCTTTTCCTCTAGGGTTGTGGGGGTTCCTGTGGATCAGGATTAAAAAGACAGTCTGAGTCACCATCACCAACTCAATTGCCTGCTATCCTGAGGAGGCGGCCAGAGTTCCTGGGATATTCCTAGGAATGCCTTCTTAAAGCTGTATCCTCTCAGAGCCTTTACCAATGGAGGCACCGACCTCTGCTTTTGCAGTTCTTTCGGGGAGAAAGGCTGTGTGAGGCATATAGGCGGGTTGTGATTATGATGTCAAATCCCTCCATGGAGGGAAAGGCAGTATCTGCTGCCCCCAGCTGTCCTGCAGCTTGAATTGGCTACCCCCAAGATGTGCTGGAGGTCTTTTTCTTGAGAGACACATGGTAGAGTTTTTACATTTGAAACAGTGGGCAGTGTAAAATTGTAAGTAAGCTTTGTGCCTTCCTTGGAAACGCCCCAGTGATGGCTCAGCCTTCAGAGAAAACCTCGTGAAAGAGCAGCCAGCTTGATCATTTGCTGAATTTCAGGCTTCATAGTCTTCCTTCCTCTGCAAAATAGCCTGGAGTTTGGAAGAGACCCAAAGGAATTTCAGCTTTGCAGAGGGAGAACCTGAGACCCAGCTAACCTACACCTGACAGGAGACCTTGGTGACCAATTCTAGGCAGACATGACAATTTATTTGTGTTCATTAAGTATTTCTGTGCACCAGGTGTGCCCAAGCTTAATATGTGTTCAGTCATTTAATCATTGTAGATGAAGAGACTGAGGTTAGGAACCTGCAGAGATGATGCTGAACATCTACAGAGATCATGAAACTTTCTCAACCAAGTTCTTTGTAATTCTATTTTGTCTGTACAGTAAAATTTCCCTTTAAAACTATTACCGCATATTATCCATTGACAGTGGAAATGAGTTCCTGATAATCAGATATGGGAATGGTTGTGGTCAAACCAGCCCAAAGCCCTAGAATAAGAGCAGAGTTAGGGAAGAAAGAAGAGAACCTAGGAAGAGTGAAATTTGGCCCCTCATCTAAATCTGAGTTTTAACATCAGGAGAGTAAATCCTTCCATGAGAAATGAAAGACTTGGGCTGGGATGTGTGGCTTAGTGATAGAATACTTACATGCATGGAGGACACAAATGTTTATAAACCAGAGAGGTATTGTAAAAGAAATTAAGTGTGTTGGTGAAAAACATTTTTTTAAAATGATGGTTGTGGAATCATTTTGCAGAGCATAAAGTATTGGGTTCAAAGAATTGGAGAAATCTAGTGGTGTAGGTTACTGGGAAACAACCCTCTCATTTGACAGGTTACAAAACTGAAGTCCAGAAAGATAGAATACTACACTGTGGCACCCTAAGTTAGCTAATGGCACAAATATAAAGAGCCAGGAACTTTACTGCAGTCTCTACAGACCTGCCAGCCATCGGCACAGTTACAGTAAGAGCATCAAATAAAAACAGACAGTGCAGAGAGACGAATTCATTTAACAGGCTTTGACTGAGTGACATCTATTTTGGTGTGTTCAGAAGGTGAGGTGGATCCTTGTCCTTAAGAGATCAAGTTGTGTTTTGACCCAAGTTGAGAAATGACTTGGGGGGACCATCAGAAGCTGTGGGATGAACCTGATCTTCAGGGAAAGTGACTGTCTTACACTTCAGGGGCTGGTAAAAATGTGCAGTACATGGATTTTATGAATCAGTCCTTTTGGTAAGGAGAACATTTGCACTGACTTGAATTCAAGGAGTTCCTAGGTGTAGTCACAGGCAACCCTCCACATCTCGGTAAGTTAAGGTGGTGAAAGTTTACTTTTCCCTCCCATACCCACCTTGTCATTCAGGAAACTGAGGCGCCTTCCATCTGGGGCTTCATTATTCTTTAGTCTTGGAGTTTTTATTTCATCCAGCTAGGAAATGAAGGAAGACAAATTGGAATGATGTCAGGGAGGTTTTATGGGCCAGTCCTGCAAGTGGTGTGCATTACTTGTGCTCGTATACCTTCGTCTGCAATTCAGTCTGCCACAGGCTGCAGTGAACTGCAAAGGAGGCCAGAAATGTCAGTGGATGCCCAAGAGGAAACAAAAACTCCCAAGTGAACAGATCGTCTGAAAGCGGTCTTAATTACACATTATAAGTGGTTTTATTACAGGGTGCTCTTTACACCATCCCCAAATGGCCCATTTCTGTGGTTGCTTTTCATAGGATTGAGGTCTCTACTGAGTAACAGCAGTGTCCTTTAGAAAGATCTTTTGTTACTTAACGTTTTTGTTTTTTTCCTTTCACTGATTCTACCTCTAATATATGAGATTTTCCAAACCCTTTAGAACTATAGCCTCGGGCCAACTGACTATCGCTAAACAAGTATCTATAATCAAACTAAGTATTATTACCATAGAAGTAGAAAGAGCATAATTACATTATAGAGGAAACTTGCCCTTTCTACTTCCCTGGAATTATAAACATTGTGTACAGCTGGAACCAGGAGGTGGTTGCCATAACAACCATGGAAAAGCTAAAAATAGCCTCTTTCATATTGTATTGCTTAAGGTGGAATTATGACATGTTGTGGTGTTTTAGGGCAGGTAATTCTCTTTCATGTGCTAAATGTTTGCAAACTTTATTCAACAAAGCAATATTTGTATAATGTAAGTATTTGGATTGCTGCCTCTGATTATATTCCCTGACCCCCATGTTCCAGGATTCTTTTCTGACGTTGAATTCTATGTTATGTTTCTTTGTCTTTGTGAGTCTACTAGAGAACTTTTTACTCTAATTCTAGGATTATGTTTATGGTTAAAATATATAAAATGACCCTGCTAGTGTCTTCTTGGATGTGAAGAATTGAAATGAAGTCTTGTGTGTGTGGTCCCCTCTCTGCCATCAAACTCTGTCCATGCTGATTGACCTGGCGGCACCAGCTCTTTGTACAGCACCGACACGTCCACACCCCTCTCTCCTCACCTACGCTGTGGGATAGGACTGAGGTTTCTTGAGGAAGGCAGGAATCAGTGACTTATTTCAAAGAAGACCTATACTTCCTCTGTGACAGTATTTTTAGAGGAGAACAAGGATACTGCAGTAGTCCCCCGTTAAGTAGTGGAGCACTTGTAGAACAAAAGCTTGGCAATTTTTGTAAACCATATAACAAAGAGTCACACCTGGAATTGCACAGGTCTAAGGGCTTAACTTAAGAGTACAGAGCTATAGGAAGCTGTAAATGCATGTACCAAATTTTGTAGATTAGGTGAGTTTAATGTTTGGCTTATGACAGGTATGATAATGGAAGAAAATATATTTATATGAAAAAGTGCTTCTTTACCAGCAGTTGGTGTTTTCTGCTTTGATTTTGCAGCATTTTAGTTCTAGTAGATTGGAAAGCAATTTGTGTACTGAGACACCATTATGTGCCTGTTAGCAAGTAAGCAGTGTGATGAATTAAGGTTGTATCACAGAAAATATTGCTTAACTAGTTTATTTAGATGTTTGTCATAACAAACCCAGGAAATGCTGAAGTATGGAGCAACGTGAATCTTCTTTATAGAATTTGTACAAAAACTCTTAACGTACCTTCCAATATCAGAATTGTTCCCCCGTCTTCAGAAAATGAGAGGTTAACACAGGTTTGGTTTTGTGTTTGTTTCTGTGTGCAATTAAGCGCAGCCCATTTTGTCCTTCTGCTTGATATAACAGTTGTCATGAGTCTGGCTGTGCCATGGAAACCAGTTTGACGTCACTAATTCTGCTTAGATGGAGGATTAGAGCTAGACAAAGTAGTTGATCTACCGACGAGTCCTTTTGTGCTTCACAGTTCCAAATGTTCCCTCCCATTTTGACATAAAGAATAGACACGATGTATAGTAGAGGATTAAGGAAGGCTATACCAGTGTGTCACTGGTGAGTCAGACAAAACTGAGTTGAGTATTATCCTGGGGGAGGGAAGAAAGGGGGAGATGGAGGGACGGTGGGGAAAGAGGAAGAAAGAGATAGAAGGAACTGTATGCTGTTGTGTGTGTGAGCATGGGTAGGTTTTTGCTAGACAGATGTATGTCCCTGATGGGAGGACAGAGATTTGTAGGTGAGTTGCTTTCTGTACAATTGGGTACAGAAAGTGGGTACAGTTGGGTACAATTTTATTTACTTAGGTGTAATGCATTTTTTGCTTTATGTAGCACTTAGAGGGTCTTAAATTTGTTTTAATATATTTTGCAATGCAAATACTCTGTTTTGCATAAAGTACTCTAAAATTCTGACTATCAACTCACCCAGAGGCCTCTGTCCCCTAGAAATTATAAATTAAAGTAGAATATCTGAGTAACAGTGATCTTTGCTGCCTCAAGGAATAAACAAGTGAAGGAGTATGACCATGTAATTGTGACATACCAGATTATTGATGTTATTGTTTTAGTGGTAAAGAAGCTTTTAATATCTTAAATAACTTTTCCTCTATTGAAATCATGGCTTTGGTGAGTGAAGTTTTAAGGGTCTGTTTGATGAGCTCAAGATTTAATTTTTAAGAAGTGTTCGATAAGGTGAAACTTTAACCTTTAAAGACTTTTAAATTGCATTTCATTTGTGAGTGGGAAATAAAACATACAGTATCTTTGTTCAAGGGCACACACAACCACCCTAGCTAGTTGGAGTATAATGGAGCACAGAATCCAGCTGATAAAACCTGTGGTGATAGGCTACAGCCTCTGTGAAAAACATCATCTTCATCTACTTCACCTGGCTTTCTCTGTACTTGCTCTGTATGAGTGAGGATGTTGCAATTCCTGGTTATATGAGAACAGGCGAACCTAAAAACCCAACCTGCGAGGCCTCTTGGAATGTGTTGCATTTTAGCGTCTACTTGATTGGAATCTGACCCAGTGTAAAGATGACATTTTCCAATATATTGAAAATACACATTTCTCTCTTTTTGCACATTTACTAAGATATTTTACATATCGTAAAATCTGTCTACTTAAAGTATATAGTTCAGTGGCTTTTAGAGTATGTACAGAGCTGTGCAACTATCACAATTTCATTTTAGAATATTTTTAGTACTCTAAAAATATAAAGATAATTAAACATCATAAATTAATCCTATATTAAAAGACTCCTTAACAGAGTGGTTTTCATTCCATTTTTATCAAAGGAATTTCTCATTCTTCTAGATGAAATAAAATGACCAGCTATTAATTGCTAATTCACCAGGTTTTAGCTTAAAGGGCCTCTTTAATACAAACTTTCTTAAGAAACAAAAGGCTTGTCTGTATCAAAGACAGAGAAAAGCAAAAACTACAAGAATGATGTCATTAATCCATTGACCAAAAAAACAATCTTAACATGTTTAAATTTGAAGTTTTATTTCTGTCATCAAAATGTTAATGGATTTCACGATCTTGAGTGGTATATTTTGCCCACAAGGACTTCTGTTTAAAAACAACAGCAAATACTCGTTTCCAGTGACACACATTCCACGGTGGACCTGGACTTTCCTTTGATGGTTGGAGTGGCATCTAGCCTAGAGGCTGGCAGATGGAGTGAATGACCTTTGGGGATTATTTCTCTTCAGATTTACGTATAAAATAACTTAGATGTCATTTAATCATGTTTTCTCTGCTGTTTTACATATAAAGGATGTGATAGTCCCTTATTTATGTATTTATTTAAAGCAAGCCTTGAAGTAAATTCAAACACAAAAAGAATGCCTGGTTGAAGGAAAGGAGGCCAATATGAAGGGCGAGGAGGTGGGCGAGGTCAGATTCCCGTGGCTGACCTGGCTGAGCTGTATCTGTAGCTCAGTGGGAGTTCTTGGCCCTTGCCCTTCCTCTGAGCCCCAGCACTTTGGAGGGGGGGCACCTCTCCTTTGAGAGTTAACAGTTTGGGAGGGCAAAATTGGTGGTTAAATCTGACATTTCTACAAACCTAATTCCACATAACAATCTATATGTGGTTGTGAACAACTGATATATTTACAACATTGCTTTTCTCCAACTATTTTTCATTTACTTCTAAAATTGGAAATTCCTGATAACTGGCTTTTAACTTCCAATAGTCTGTACAATTTACAGAAAAAAACCAAGCTTCGCCTTTTGCAAAAGAGTAAGTTTAATAAACTATAGAGTCATTAAACTTTAGTTTTAGAGTCAGCTTGAGTACCCAAGTATCTGCGACCCAAGCCAGTCAAGTCTGAGGACAGGGCCTAGCATCATGCATCGCTAGGTTTTGCAAAGCACTTACTTATTACACATATTTGAGGAAGAGTAGCTTTAGAGTCTGGGACCTCACGGTTTTGTTGGCAGGGGGTGCCCATATACATGGAAGGGTTATATATGACAGCAGGGTAGTAGGTAATGATCCCCGAAAATAAAGGTGTGGGCATCCCTTAGTAGAGTTCCGGGGGAGGAGGACAGTGCTTGGGGTGAGACCTACAGCCTTGCACTCCTAGGCACGTGATCCCTCACTGAGCTTATACTCCAACCCCATAATGAAAATCCTTTCTGCATGGCTGAGGGGACCTCAGAGATCAACTCAGGAAGACGGTGGATCTCATGTGGTCATGCCCTGGATTACCAACACTGGGCAATGAGCTAATTGTAAAGAGCTATTTTTAGTTGATTAAATTATGCCTCATTCACTGACCAAGCGTGTCATGCAGTGATGAAAACCAGGGAGTTGTGTGTTTGAAAAGCAGTTAAGTTACTTTGCTTCAAATAATTACATATATATCTTGATCTGTAATCCACAGATAGTTGTGTTTATGCTTTTACTCCATTGACCTGGTACATTTTCCTTTTTAGATCTAAAGGGGTGATTCTGAATATCTCCTCTGCCAGCGGCATGACCCCCGTTCCACTCTTGACCATCTATTCTGCAACCAAGGTGAACAACATTCTTGTAAATGATGTCAGTATAAGAGAAACGAATCATTTTTACTCTGTGCAGTTAACATAGATTTAAGTCTCTTGAAGGAAAATGCCCAAGCACTGGGAATGTATGGGTAGGTATAGATTTCTAAGGGAACACCAGTGTATGACACCCACAGATGCTTATTTTGCTCCAGTAGTTTACTGATGTAAAGTAATACTTGTGCTTTCCCGGAAGAGCTGGTCCAGGCCAGCTTGCTTAGTGGGTGAGAACACGGCACTAAGGGGTCTAAGACTGGAGATTTCAGACGTGAATGAGTCAGCTCCATACAGCACAGAAGAAATGCATCCAGTCAGGGCGTAGATGTACGCAGTAGACAGGATGCACTGGGGAGAGTGTGGCTTCTGCCACATTATTCAGAACTCATGAATATCTGTTGTCACTTCTAGCGTGTCACAAGAATTTTTCAGAGCTCTGTGCAAAATGTCATTATTTCATACATCACCATTTACTTCCTCACATTGCTCCTAGAATAATAATTTAGGATGCATCTGTCCCTGCCTGCGGGTCAATAGCATCACCTTCAGATACATTACTGGGGCACAGAATAGATTTCTGAAGGGAAAAATGTCACTTAAACATTGAAATTAAGCAAGCTTTTAGGGGGGAAATAAGCACAGCTAATATGTAATGTGAATTTGCAATATGTAATGGAGGAGAAGGAGCAAAAGACGTGCCTTCTTTTTCACTTAAGAAAGCCTCAGTCATTATGATCTTTTGAAAACCTTAGCACGATCTCCCAGTCCCTGGAGCCTGCTTGCTGTCCGCATCTCTGGAACACACCAAGGGCGTGCTTTCAGTGACACCCTGTGTGAGAAGCGATTCTGAGCCTCCCACCTGTTCCCCATGGACACAGTCTTTGGCTGATTGGGGCGCTGGAATGTGGTGTGCCAAGCCTGAGCTTAAGGAAGGGATAGATTACATTCTGAATCACTCACAGGTAGATTTCAGGTTGCATGAGCAGAAGAAGATGGGCTCTCACATCATCTCTACATTCTTGGATTTTATACCATCTTCTTTTCACAACAACAAAATTTCCCTAGAACACAGTTGAATAGAATCTGTGTTATGTTTCTGCTTGTCTGACAAGTAAAGAGTAGAAGTGCATCTTTCGTTATATAATATAAAAATACTTCTTCTTGGAAAGTAATTTTCTGGGGAAGGGGAAGGATAAGGAGAACCTTTTCCAGTCAAAATCAGATTTTGGGGTAAACATTGTGTTTGGTTAAGATAATACTTGATGTGGTAACAGGAAAAAAACCCTTGAGATTTTGAGGTGTTATTAAAGTATTTCTTCTGCATTTGAAATGATAGAATGATGAAAAGTGATAGGGCTAAATGGTTAATTATTTTTTGTTTCCATGGCTACCAATCAGGCATATTGATGTAATGTGTGCTTCTTCTTACTCCCCACACCCTCTCAGGCTTTTGTAGATTTTTTCTCTCGGTGTCTCCATGAGGAATATAAGAGCAAGGGCATCTTTGTGCAGGTGAGTGGAGTTTGCTTCTGTTAAGTATTCCTGTTTTTGTGTGGTTGCCACAGCAACAGTTGCTGTCTTGGCAACGAAAGAAAATCACATTTCTCAGTAAGGGAACGTGACGTTGCACACCATTAAAGCTATGGGTTCTTTCTTCTTTACGCACTTTAGTCAAGATTTTTAAAAATCATACCCTAGAATTTTTAAGTAAGGGTTGCTCAAGTAGAATTAAATGCAGAGTAAGCAATTGAAGCATAATTATTGTAGGTTTGAGAGAATCAAATTATTGATAATCTCTTCTATGCAGAAAATATATAACATAATATTTACCACTTTAATCATTTCCAAGCATGTGGTGAGTAGCACTGAGTACGTTTATATTGCTTGGCGATCAGTGCCACCTTCCATCTCCAGAGCATTCCTCATCTAGAACTGAAGCTGCATGCCCATTAAACACCAGCTCCCCATTTCTCCCTCTCCTCCATCATCAGCAACCACCATTCTACTTTCTGTTTCTCCCAATTTGTTCTTAGTACTCCTCATGAAGGAATCACATGGTATTTGATGTTTTGTGGTCAAATCATTCAGTCCTCTTAGCACCATGTTTGAAAGGTCCACCCATGTTGACCACGTATTGGCATTTTCTTCAGAGGCCAGGTGATGCCTCCCACGGTTTGTATGATACCACATTCTGTTTAGAGACTCTCTCACTGATGGACTTGTGTGCTGTTTCCACATGGCGGCTGTTGTGAATAATGTTGGAATAGACAGGGCACAAGTCTTATGGATAGGTATACAGAAGTGGAATTGGCAGTTCCATAAATCACCTTAAAATTCTGCAAAATCCCTTAATTTTTTAATTTTTGCTTCTGTAAGACTGTTCACCTTATCAGCTGTGTCATTTTACATTCCACCAGCAGATGACAAAGGGGTTCCAGTTTCTTCACCTCCTTGCAAATATTTGCTGTGTTTGGTTTTGTTTATATATAGGTGGGTGTGAAATGGTATCTCATTGTGATTTTGATTTGTCTGTTGATGTTAGCACCACTTGGGGAACCTTTTTGGGGTACTTCTTGGCCAGTTATGTATCATCCTTAGAGAAATTTCTGTTTAAATCGATTGCCCAATTTTTAGTAGGGGTTTTAGTTGAATTTTAGGTGTTCTTGATTAATTTGGATGTTATTAGCTATGACTTCTTTTTGTTGTTGTTTGTCCTTTTGGTTTTGTTTTTTGTGGGCTATTTTGTTGTTTTGGTGCTGAGAGCTGAACTCGGGAACTCCCTTATTAGATATATAATTTACCTATATTTATACTCTCTCTATGAGTTACCTTTTCACTCTCTTGATAGTGCTTTTTAATGTACAAATATAGATATATCTTTTTAATTTAAATAATAGCTCAAGTTATCTACTTTTCCTTTGCTCTCTGGTATTTTGGTTGTCATAGCTAAGAATCCTTACCAAACACAGTATCAAAGACTTTTCCCCCCGTTTTCTTTGTAGAGTTTTATGGCTCTAGCTCTTAGTTAGACCTTTGATCCATTTTGAGTTAATCTTCATATAGATCTTTGAGTTTACTGTGTAGTTAATACATTCAATGCTGTCAGATCCAATACAAAATAAAAGAAGCAAAGGTAAGACTTTCTGTGAGGGTTTATTGGAGATCTGCTGTTGTTTAACCCAAAAAAAAAAAATAATTGCTCACAGTATTTCTGTGCTTAGGCACACTTTTAAAAGTTGCAGTTGCTACCACTTTCCTGGTCTGTCCCATCATCTGCCTGTCTCTAGCCTTGGTGTCCCTGTAGCTATTTGAGTGAGTAATCTTCAGACACAATGCTAAGTGTTTAGTCTGTATCATTTTGCTGCATTTCACACAATCCCGTAAGGTAATGTGTGATATGGATGAATATATATATATATATATATTTTTTTTTTTTTTTAAATCTTTTTGAGACACTATGCTCTTTCACTCTGCTATTTAAGCTGGCCTCGAACTCACAGCAATCCTTCTACCTCAGTGTCTTGGGTGCTGGGATGATAGGTGTGTGTCACCGTGCCCAGCTTCATCTTTTTTTAAAGTTGCTGAAATTGAACTTTTAAAAGGTTAAGCAGTCCGCTCCTGATGGGACCAGAAAAGTGCTTGACTGCTTCTGCCCAGCTCAGTCTTTATTGCCCATGGGTAGTCAGGGCCTCAGAGTTTGCTGGCTATGGCTTCTGAGTCTTTTTGATCATCCATTGAGAGAGGATGGTAATGGCAGCAAAGGCTGGATGACCGTTTCCTCATCTTCCAGGGCCCACCAAGAGGCTGTGTCCTCTAAATTCCCACCTCAGCTCTTGTCCAGGGAATGCTGAGATGTCATAGCTACCTGGCATTATTTTGGTTTGCAGTTTCCCATATAAACAGGATGCATGGGAAAGACAGAATTTTCTAGAACCCAAGATTTCAGCACTGAGCTACCATACTCCCCTTGCTCTTTGTTCCTGGGCACCATGGTAATGGTAATGAGGCCTGTGGCGTAGGTGGTATTGTGGTAACAAGGAACCCAGGGAAGCATTCCTGGGAGGTAAGGCATCATGTGCCCTGTGACGTACCCATTTCCTTCTGTTGAGTCTGTTATAATCAAGCTCTTAGTTCAATAATTCTTCCACCCTCATGAGACTGGCAGGCATCCTAATGACCCACTGGGGGTGACCTGTAAGAGGGACCAGAAGCTGCAAGAGTTTCAGTGCCACGTGGCGGCGTTAGGCCTTGTGAGCCCGGGTGAGCAGCTGCTGAAATCCCATTCATAGAAAGGACCATCTCCTTCCTCATTGTTATAGCCTGCTTCCCTCAGCGTTGTTTGTCTTCAGATTCTCTGCCCACTAATCTGACATGACTGAAAATGACTGGAATAACACATTAGTATTTGTCTCCTGGAATAGTTTACTTTGGTAAACTTTTCTTTTTCCCTAGTAGTGGATCTCAGTTGTGTAATCTCAATGGTCATTGTCTTTCCGCATATGGAATCATTTGAGGTTTAAATCTGGACTAAATTTGATGAAAAAAGATAGATGTTGGGGGAGACAGTTGCCATACATAACATGAACATGGATCAGTGCAGGGGCAGAACACAAAAAGAACCCTGCATTTATTCTAATCAAAGAGGGAAAAAAATCTGGTCTGAGTGAAGCACAATTAAAAATTGATTTTTTTAATCAATTGGCACTGAAACACAGGTAGTGTTTTGTGGCTCCAATTTTTGAGGACTAGGAGTATTAGCCAACCCTATCCTGCATATGTTTCCCAGCTGATCTTCCTTTCCTCCGTGGTCATCCAGCAGGGTGCCTTGAAGTTTTGCACTAGATTTGAACCGTACAGGCTGTGTCTTTCTCACTGTCCCTTATTCTCCCCTGGGCTCAGGCCAGAGTGGCCCTCGAAGTGCCCCGTGTGCTCTGCCCTTGGAGCCTCATGGTCACCTTTCAGTTGCCATCCCCACCCCGATCCTCTCTGGGCTACACTGCACCTGCTCCTAGCGTCCTCCGCACCTGCATCCTGGATCTGTCCATTTCTCAAGGCTTTGGGTCCCACCTGTTGCCTGGCTGGCCTGCCCTAACCCCTTGGTGCACTTGGAGCCTTTCTTTGTGCTCTCCCTGCATCTCTGCTTAGCCCTGTTGCCTTCTGTCTTTTCCAGTTCAGTAGTGTTGAAAAAAAAGATTTGTATCCTTGTTTCTGGGTGGCTGATGGCAACATAGCTGGGCACCCTGGTGTCCTGGTTTCTGTGCCCTGCCTCAACTTCTTTCTTGTAAGAGCACTTAAAATTCCATCTAAGAATTCACACTTGCCATTATATAAATATTTCCTGGAAATACAAATAAATGGTAGTAACAGCTGATACCGTGCCTAAGCAACATAGTAAGCTCCTGTCTCTTAACAAAAGAAAAAAAACAAAGAAAGAAAGGAACAGCACCAACTTGTTATATAAATTCCCTGGAGCAGAATCATGGTCCTATTGGTGATTCTATTGATTTTGAACAAAGAGTAAGATAACACATTCGTAAGTGAACTTTATTAAAAGGTTTGTGCTCTTGGTAAGGACTATTTGTTCTCTTTATTATCTTATGATTAAAAATGATTTTTTAAAAAGTTGCTTAAATCTGTCAAAGGGCGAAACTCACAAGTGACGAGCATGGCCAGGTTGTGGTTGCTTTTTTCCTTTCTCTCATGGCAATAGGGATCCAACCCAGGCTCTTACCTGTGCGAGGCAAGCACTGTCCTACTGAGCTAACAGCCTTGGCCCCTCTGATTTTTGAGACAGGGCCTTGCTGAGTTTCCCAGAGGATTTTGACCTTGTCACTCTTGTCTAGGCCCACCTCTTACAGTAGTTTTTTATCTTCTAGCAAACTATTCAGTGTAGGATCAGGTATTTTTGTCTATGCTATTTTTTAACTTTTCTTTGAATATATCTAGAAACTTTCTTTGTTGTCGATGACATTGACATTTTTGAAGAAGACAGCACTGCTCCCCTATTCTTTTGTTTGTTTGGTTGGTTGGTTGGTGTGTTTTAGTTTGTTTGAGACGGTGTCTTCTGTAGCTGGGGCTGGCCTTGAACTCACCATCCTCCTGCCTCTGCCTCCATAGTACTGGGATTACAGGTGTGCACCAATACACCCAGTCTATCCACTTGTTTTAAAGGAAAACCTTCATTTGGAGTATGTCTAATGGGTGCTATTTAGGTATGCTTGCCAGGGTATGCTCCTGGCTAAAATACCACCTCTGGGTGGCATGTTCTTAGGAGTCTCCAAGGGAGACAGTGTCCAGCTGCTCTTCATTGGGGTGAACCGTGGCCCCCCTGTCCCGTCGCCCACGGTTCCTGCTGCGTCACTTGTACCTCCCTTGCACTAAGTGTCTGGGTTGGGGGCGCACTGTGAAACGTGCGCAGATCCCGCTTCCTGTTACCGCTTCCCCTCAATTCGCATCCACTGGTGTCTTGGCAAACCTGCCTTCTAGAGACACTTGGTGGTGTGACACAGAAA